CTGGCTGTTACGTACAAGTTTGAAATATGAGAGACTTGTTCAGAAGATTTGGAGAGCATGGATTGATGTCTGGTCCCTCTTAGTCCCAAGAGCGAACAAACCCAAAACAAAGAGTACAAACAAAAGCATTCCCCCCACCAAGATTTGAAAGTATCTTGTCCCCTTATTGGTCCTTTGGGTCAGGTGTCAGCCAGGTTACCTGAGCTTCTTAACCCTTTACAGGTAAAAGAATTTTGGTGTCTCTGGCCAGGAGGGATTTTATAGTATTGTACACAGTAGGGCTGTTACCCTTCTCTTTATAGTTATGACAGTCACTGTGAAATTAAAGAACGAGGGAAACATGCTTATCAGCTGTGACCCAAGAGGACCTACAACTGACTCTGTGGCATACTCCCCTCTTCCCCCCACTCTCACAGAGGCGTCCCTCCCCACCCATAAAACTGGCTCTCTGTGAGGAGACAGTTTTATGGCTGGGGAGGGAAGCCAGGCTACGGTGCCAGAGAATTTCTGCCAAATTCCTCTGCCCCACCAAATCCATGGGGCAAACCCAAGCAAGTTACAGAGACAGAAAAGAGTAACTCGCATGTGCCCCTCTCCACATGAGCCTGGCCCTGTCAGAGGGCTTACAAGGGCATTAGCAATAGGGAAACCATCTGCCTCCTGCAGAAGCAGTGCTAAGCGCTAGGTAGAACTATCCAGGGAGCAGCCGGGAGTTGACTGGAAAGAGGGTCTGTTACCAGATCACCTTATCCTGCTTGGTGCTCCATGCCCACTCTCCTGGTTCTGGACACTTCCATCTCCTGCTCATCCATAGACCAATTTCAGGGTCTCCAAATTATTTAGAGCTCCAGCCAAATCATGAACTCAGTGCTGGGGTACATTATGGAACCCCTTGAGAAGCCAAGGTGAGTCTCAAAAGAATGACATGTGCGATCTTATAATAGCCCTCATTGCTGAACCTTTGCTCATGCTCCCAGCAGGGATGGTACACATCAGACTAGGGATCTGATCCATAGTCCATTGACGTGCATCGGGAAAGAATCCCATTGACCTCAGTCAGTTTGGATGAGGCCCTAAGTGCATTGTAAGGCTTCTGCTAGCTTTATGACAACCCCTTTCATTTAGTGAGAAGTTGCAACCTCTTTCCCACTGTTTTCGTAGGCAGCTGTGGATTTCAAGGACCGATCAGGGTTGGATGACAAGCAGCTCCTGAGGGTTGCAGTGGAGATGTCCCTTAAGCGCAGAGACTGGAAGCTCTTAGCAAACAACTTGGGCCTTTTGGAGAAGGACTGCTCCGGTCTGGAGCGGGAGCATTTGGATGTGAAAACCCAGGTAAAAACCAAACCCCAGTGGAAAAAGCGAGCGCTTAACTTGGATCATTTCTGCTTTGAATTGTAAGGTCTTTGGGGCAGGGACGAAGTCCTCCTGGATAGTGTGTGTAGAGTGACCAGGATAATGAAGCCCTGACCCTAACTGAGTATTGTTCCTACTGTAATTAATACTACGATTACTACCCTCTCAAATAGCCTGCCCAGTGTGTAGAATCAACATTGATTAGTAGAGGATCCTGGGGGTTGCTGTAATGAAATGTATGTGTTCGATCTGTTCAGGAGCTACTGTATGTGGACTTCTATGAGAAAAACATAACCGTGCTGTGACCATTAAACATTGTCAAACAATAACCCTCGCCTCTCCTTTTATTTATCTGCAGATCCTGGCAATGTTGCAGATTTGGCTAAGGACCTGTCAGGAAGCCCCCCTTCCTCTCCTGCAAACTGCGCTGAGACTCAGCGGCAACACAGACATTTGCAATGAAGTGTTCTCCTTGAACTTCTGAAGCTCTCGTGTGGGCAGCGTGCAAATTAGAGACAAATGCACATGTTGCACTTCAAAGAGCGATTCTCCTTGGAAGAGCAAACATTGGTGCTCATTAATTGTAATGGGAAAGTGCATCTAATTACCTGGACCCCAGGTAATTTGATCTAAGATACTTCGACTTCAGCTACGCTATTCGCGTAGCTGAAGTTGCGTATCTTGGATCGATCCCCCCCCCCCCCAGTGTAGACCAGCCCTAAATCTCTTAGCAACGGCTTTGAAAACTGAGCTGTAATTTTGCTATCTAGTGGACCGAGGCAGTGCCAGGCATACTTGCCCATTCAGATACTGAGAACCAGGTCATAGCATCTGTCTGTCATATCAGTAGCTGGAAATCCTAAATTGTTTTGATTTTCTTTGCAGTAGTTTTACTTTTCAACCTGTTGGATTGGGGGGAGGAAGCATGTTCCCTCAAAGACCTTATATCTTGGATCCTTCGCTATCTTTATGGCTTGTTTTGTGAAAGGCCCATTGCTGTGGGTATCTGGGCGGTTAGCATTTCTTTGGCATTCGTGTCAGAAAGAGTCGAGTGCCATCTGTTACCCTTCTGTTGCGAAGGACTAGATTACAGATCTCCTCAGTGGGTGAAGTGGCACCTTCCACTCCTGTTACAAACTTCTGTTACTTCTGTTGCATTTGCCCAGCTCTGCTCCTAATTAACTAATCGATCCTTTTCCTGCCCTTCCACGTTAGCTCCACTGGAGGAGAGAGGGTGAAATTCGCCCTGTGCAGTGGACCAGCACAAAGCTAACATAGGATTTAAATGGTGCATAAGCTTGAGGGCTTTTAAGTGGGACTTAAAGGGGGTATAGTCCCATTCTGATCCTCTGCATATGAGTGAGTTTCACCCCGGATGTATAACAGTAGTGTTGTAAACTCATAGTAAAGCAAATGCCTTTTACAAACAGAAACAGGGAGTTTTATCTCCATCTTTCCAAACCATACTTGTTATTCTAGTATATATCTTTGTTATGGATTACTTGTTACAAGTGCATCAACTGCTGTCTTGCAAGAGAAAGTCTTTGTGTTGTATATCAATTGAAAAAACTACCAATGAAACTTTAGCTGATTTTATTTCCAACTTGTTAGCTTCTGCAGTCACAGTGCATATCAGTCAGGGCGCTAGAAAATCCATTCATTATCGAAAGCACTGATTGCACTGATGCACAGTATAACAAATGTAGCTGATATGCAAAGTTGCCAAATTTAACACGGGGTTAAGCATTGAATTTAAAAAGAATGCTGATTCCTAGCAGCAGACATACTTCTTAGCGTTTTTGTCTAAAAAACTACTGCTTGGGAATAGATAGTTCTGGCAGTAGGTTTATATAAATAAATCGCCTTGCAATATCTAGCTTATATAGTCAAACTCTAAATTCTGCTGTGTTACATTTCTAATTAAAAAAAATTCAACAGTGCTGGCCTCAAACTCTGTAGAAACACTATTGGACGGTTCAGTGTTTGGGGATGTTACTGGAGTATTTTTGACCTACTGTCTGGGTTGTTCTAAGGTAGAATTATTAGAAGGAGGTCAGTTGGCCATACAGATTTCCCCCCTAGACTGCCTGTTTCAAGCCAGCCCAGAGGTCTGCTCCCATGAATGCTTACCAAGCATTTCTATCCTGATCAGTGCCATGGTTTCAATAGTATCAGAGGGGTAGCCCTGTTAGTCTGGAGCTGTAAAAAGCAACAGAGAGTCCTGTGGCACCTTTAAGACTTAACAGATGTATTGGAGCACAAGCTTTCGTGGGTGAATTACATGCATCCGACGAAGTGGACATTCACCCACGAAAGCTTATGCTCCAATACATCTGTTAGTCTTAAAAGCGCCACAGGACTCTCTGATGGTTTCAATAGTACTGCTAGCTGTATTAAGCAATATGCTCAGTAGCAAGGGTCTGGCAGCTATCAGCATCTCATGTCTATTGGGTGGCCTATGTGAAAGTTATTCAATAGGTTTTAGGGGCCAGAAGGGACCACTGCAATTATCCTGCCTTCTGCACAACACCGACCTTGCCCTGTGGCCCTGATTAAGCAAACCATCCCCTCTCAGCCAAGCAGTCAAGCATATGAGTAACTTGAAGCATGTGCATAAGTTCTATTGACTTTAAGGCAGTTCACTTACATGCAGTAAGTGCTTTGCTGAGTCAGGGTCTCTATTAGGGGATGCCATTGTGTAGCACAATGAATGCTAAAGATTTGTTTCCAGGGAGACTGACAATATTTTATTTCTCTGCTTTCCTAAGGGTATTGTTCCCCTTTCAGATCCACACACTTCATCTCAGCACCATTGGCATTTGGTGCAAGCACAGGAGGATCCAAGTATCAGAGCTGAGAATTCATCCCATTTTGCTGAGAGGAGAATATGCTCATGTCAGATGGGTCTCTAAAGATAAAGAGTACATCCATTTCAAAGCCAGGGGCACCCTTGATGCAGAGCTGACATTGCTGTTGTTCCAAAAGCAATTGGGGAGAAGCACAAATCAGTTCTAAAGGGATAGGACGTTATTAGATTTATACTAATGAAATTTTACACTTATTGAAAATTAGCAGACAAGAGCATGAATGAAAACTACACACACACACACACACACTCTCTGCCTGTACATTTTTAAGTAGATTAAAGATAGTATCACTTTTATTGCAACATTAGCGCAAAGGTATATGCCAGTTTTATTTCTCTGATCTTAAAGGCCAATTTGCACTTGTTAGTTTTGCAATAGTAGACAGTCTGGTATCCTTGCCTCTGGATCATTTGTCATATTTCCTGTTAGAGAACTGGATGAAGGATTGTCTTCTCCGGCTGAACTGATTTGCTCCAAAGAGTTGTGCAAGGACATTGGATCCATCCCCGCTACTGCATTTCTAATTGGCGCTGCACCTGCTCCAGGGTAGGATCCATGTCCTCTTGCTGCCCTAATGTGATTTTAGAGTATAGCATATTCCTTTCCTGATCTGATGTTCCATCTCCATTTTCTTGTGGAGTAGGTGCAGGCAGGGGAGGGTGAAGGAGGTTTTCCAAGCAGCAGTGAGCTGTTCCTGTGACTAATCTGAATACCAGCTGGGTATCAAACATGCCTAGCATGCTCTGAGTGACTACCTTCAGAATATTGTGAACTTCCTCTTTATTCCCAAGAAGAGAATCTGATTGGGGGAAAGTCTAGCGGTGCCAACGGATTTTCTTTTGGTGCTGGACAATTCCCTGTACTGCACAAATGGCCAGAGGAAGGCTACGCTGCACTCCCTCTGTGATCTGCTAGGTTGCCATCTGGGACTGACACGGTGACGGGCTGGTGTCCCTGCTCCAGTGAATCAAACCCTCTCATCTGGACACCCCCGTACTTCGAGGCCACACCAGGCAGATGCTTTGGGTTCTCTCTAAACACGGCTGAGAAACTATTTCAGGACCCCAGGAATGTCTTTCCGAATATTGCGATCTACCTTGGTGAGACGGAAGGCTCTGTAGCTGGGAATTATATGCCTAGTCCCATGAATTGCCCAGGGATGTGCTCTCTCCTTCCAAATACATCACTAGAATGAAATGGCATATTTCCTGTTTACTTTGGGAGGGAGGGACATGTCATAAGCTGGAAAATTCTCTTCAGGAGCCCAGGGGTTAATTTCATTATATGGTAAATCTCTCCCAAGGTTGGATCGATTGTCTGTAGGATAATGGAAATAGACCTGCTGCTCTGTTGGATCATGAGGCATGTACTGTGGGTTTCCATGTTGGCCAGCTGGGCAGTCCTCAGGCAAGGGCTGCTCATGGCCCCATTTTCTTTGTCCAGGGTAAGACTCATGCCCTAGCTGATCGAAGGGTTCGCTTTGATAATAGCGGCTTCCTTGCCTCTGACTTGAAGGAGAATCTGGCGGATACAAGGGGGTTCCCAGTTGCCCTCCTGGGCCGATGCCAGAAGAGTTTTTTCTGTCATCCCAAAATCTGCCCCTAGAGTAAAGTGCATCTCCCCTTTGAGCATAGGAATAATGGTCAGGGTAGGAAATGCTCCTCCTGTGGCCCAACGAGGTACCTGATGGATACACGGAGCCTTAGGACTGCCCCACTGTGCCTGCTTCAAAGACAGGGGCGTTTTGCTGGTGGTTCCACACCTCACCTTCTGGAGAGGGAAAACCTTCTCTTTCAGGATAGGATGGGTTAACTGCCTGTCTTTCCCAGTCACAGTGACTGGTTAACAGCTTCTTGTATCTAAAAAGACACCCTGAGGGGATGGCTGGCTTGTCAGCTGTTTCCCACAACCTGGAATTCAACCAGTACCTTCCCTTGGATGACAGAAGTTGTCAGTTTGTCCTAAGATAGTAAAGCTGGGATCTGGAGAACTCCCTTCAGAAGGGAGGGTATTTGGCTTGTGACCGGTTTCGGTCTCACTGTAAGACGGTGCATTTCAGCATCAGGAAAAGGTATTTTCTCTCTCTGGTCAGAAGGCCTCTTTCCAGGCTGTTGGAAAACCTCTTCATGTCCCAATGGGGGTTAGTGATGGGTATCTCTAGAGGTTTCCTCTTCTACTGGTTGGATGTAGGAATTGTCTCCATACCCGGGAGCTTTCCAGTACACTGAGTTTTCTGGGGGACCCTGAGGAGTGAACGTGTTTGTTCCTGGCACCTCCTTGTTCTGGGGGATTCTCTATCTCTGAGAATACTATCTGTGATGGGATGGATCATGCCCAGAATTTGTTGCCTGCCTGAAGGAAAGCCCTGAGCAACCCTTAGGACTGGGACCTGCTCGGTTAGGCCCACTCTGTGGTGTTCTGTCCCGTTCTGGCTGCCTGTGCCCTAAGACTCTCAGTGGTTGGGTTGCTCTCGGGATTCTGGGAATTGATCCCGTTCCCTGTTGTACTGATGCCAATGTGGGTGGCATTCCCTCCCTGATCCCCATCCTTGGCTTAGGGCGTTGGCGGTGGTTGAGTTAATGGCAGGCCTGGTGGAATTAGCAGATAGATTGGTTGCAGGGCTCTCTGCTTTGGGTGATTCTTTCTCTGTTTTGGGTGGGTTATATTCTCATTCGAATATTTCTTCGGAGTAATATGGGGTATCTGTTGCTGAGCCCTTGAGAAAAGTGTCTGAAATAAGGGTTCTTGGGGAAGAAAAGGACAATTAATCATTGTATTGCACTGGTGCCTGGAGCCGCCCCTGGAACTCCCACCAGTTGCTTTGGAGGCACGCCAGGGGAGGGGCCATAGATCTGCATTCACATAGGCGTTGTATCTATAGTGTGTAGTTTGTACAAACAGCGCCGGAGGCTGTAGCTGTTAATCTAGGCTGTAGGAGCAGGTAAGGAGGGGCTGTGTCAGCCTGAACCCGGATTCTGGACGGGAGGAGGGGTTGAGCTGCAGCTACCCACACCCCAACACATCTGGGTACGTCTTCACTACCCGCCGTATCGGCGGGTAACGATCGATTTATCGGGGATCGATATAGCGCGTCTCATTAAGACACGCTATATCAATCCCCGAACGTGCTCCCCGTTGACTCCAGAACTCCACCAGAGCGAGCGGTGGTAGCGGAGTCGACGGGGGATCCGCGGCTGTCGATCCCACGCCATGTGGACCCCAAGTAAGTCGATCTAAGATACTTCGACTTCAGCTACGCTATTCACGTAGCTGAAGTTGCGTATCTTAGATCGATCCCCCCCCCAGTGTAGACCAGCCCACAGAGTCTGTACTGTCCGGCTTTATAGGGTGGGAGCACACATCACACACAACAGACAGGGTGTGCAAATGGGGCCACAGTCCCTTGCTTGCTTTCATATTTCCTGCCTTACATTTATTTTAACAGTGCAGCCGTCCTCTTCCACTAACACACTTGTGTGCCATTTCTATGACTGACTGAGCCACATTGCTGAACCTTCAAACCTCTGCACTGACTTCAGTGGGAGTCTTCCCCACCAGATCCCATTGAAGGATCCAAGACGTAGGCCCTGATCACACAGAGAATGGGCAACGGGATTGGAAGGGGTGACAGGGGATGGATCACTTGATGATTGCCTGTTCTGGTCATTCCCTCCGGGGCACCTGGCATTGGCCACTGTCGGAAGGCAGGACACTGGGCTAGATGGACCTTTGGTCTGACCCAGTATGGCCGTTCTTATGTTCAGAGGCAGAGGGCTAGGCACAGCTTGCCTCCTGCCGTGGTCAATAGCAGGACCGGGGCTGTATAGTTTGCACAGGGCCCCTTTGGAAGGTGTGAGCTCAACATAAGACACTGTTATTTTTAGTTTGGGCAGTGTCTGTTGATCAGATGTGCATGATGATATAGTGACCTAGAAGTTTTTTCCCTCCTTCAGATCTTCGGCTTTATCACTGGCCCAGTTCTAGTCTCCCCTTTTCCCAAGCTGACAAAATGTATAGAGGGACTGTTTTGCTGTTGGGTTTTTCCAGCTCACTCCTACAGGATTGGGCCAGACACTGCAAGCGAAGAAGGAAGGGTAAACATAACAAGCCAACAGAATCCCTCTGTTTTAAAATGCAGTGAAACATAGGCCAGGGGAGGCTGCCGAGCCTGCCCAGAATAACCGTATTAGCTTTAAGAGGCAGCGCCGTTAGTTTAGGTGCTAAAGGTTGCTTCAGTGAGAGAGGGTTTAGTGTGCCTGGTTGCCCTTTAAAGAAAAATACCTGGGAAAACATCATGGCTTGAAAGGATAGTTACTGTTCCCCATCCTTCACACCAGTCCCAGTCTGATCCCTCTTTTTCATCTTCTGCCTTTCCCTCGGTCCGTTCTCCCCATTTCCTGCTCTTCCCTTCATTAGCGCATGCAATGAGAGCAGTGTTGTGCCACCTCTTGTGATTTTTATCAGGAGTCTCGTAATATTTCTTTTTTTTCCTTAAAGCCCCAGCTCCTGGAGTCAGGTGACTACATGAGTCTGTCAGGTTTCAGTTAAAATAAAATTGTATTCCCAGCCCTCATGGCTGGGGAGAAAAGCTAGAACCAAAGTACATTAAAAAGAACCACATAGGTGTAACAGGAGCCAATGGCTGGAAACTGAAGTGAGACAAATTCAGACTGGAAATCAGGTGCAGATTTTTAACAGGGAGGGTAATTAACCATTTACCAGGATTGCGGTGGATTGTCCGTCTCCGGCAATTTATAAATTAGGTCAGATGTTTTTCTAAAATCTATTCTTGTTGGAAGTAGAGCATGAATTCAGGGGAGTTCTGTGGCTTTTGTTTTGCAGATCAGAATAAATTATCGTAATTGTTCCCTGTGACTTTATAATCTATGGATGCTAAAATGACTCTTTCACTTATTTAATAGGGAAGAATAATTCTCACGAATGCAGGAATGGCTTGGTGAAAGTCTGTGTCCTGTGTTTATTCAAGAGGTCAGACTAGATTAGCACAGTGGCTGGTAAATGTATGCCTCCTTTCAAGCTGAAAGGAATGCAAATTTAGGCATTTTTCATATATTTCATTTAGGCAAATTCCTCTTACAGCCCACGTGTCATTGGGCCAGCTATGTGGCAAGAGCAGTGATAGTGCAGTATTATTCCATTTGTGCAACTGTTCAGTGCACTTCTGGTGACACACGGTACACTCGGCAGTATATGCAGCTTTATACATTGGGTATGTAGCTAATCCACAAAGTAACCCTGTGCCTGTGCCCCTGCCCCACTCGGTTCCCTTTGTGTTTCTCCGGTGGGCTGGAGACAGGGGCGGTTCTATGTTTTTTGCCGCCCCAAGCAGGGCAGTCAAGCGGGCTTCAGCGGCATGCCTGCGGGCGGTCCGCGGTCACGCGGATTCGTCGGCGTTTCTGCAGGTGGACCCAGCCCTGAGCCCCCGCCCACACACCAAACCCCTCGGCCCCACACCCGGCACACATCATGTCCATAATTAATTCCGCACATGGAGGTAAAAAATTAGAGGGAACACTATGGGGAGCCCCATATTTAGAATCATAGAATCATTAGGACTGGAGGAACCTCGAGAGGTCATCTAGTCCAGCTCCCTGCCCACATGGCAGGTCTAAGTATTATCTAGCTAGACCATCCCTGACAAGGGTTTGTCTAACCTACTCTTAGGGTACGTCTTCACTACCCGCCATATCGGCGGGTAGCAATCGATTTATCCGGGATCGATATATCGCGTCTCCTTAAGACGCGATATATCGATCTCCGAACGCGCTCACCGTCGACTCCGGAACTCCACCGGAGCGAGCGGCGGTAGTGCAGTTGATGGGGGAGCCACGGCCGTCGATCCCACGCCGTGTGGACCCCAGGTAATTCGATCTTAGATACTTCGACTTCAGCTACGCTATTCGCGTAGCTGAAGTTGCGTATCTAAGATCGATCCCCCCCCAGTGTAGACCAGCCCTTAAAAAATCTCCACTGATGGAGATTCCACAACCTCCCTAGGCAATTTATTCAAGTGCTTAACCACACTGAGAGTTAGGAAGTTTCCCCTAATGACCAACCTAAACCTTCCTTGCTGCAATTTAAGCCCATTACTTCTTATCCTGTCCTCAGAGGTTAAGAACAACAATTTTTCTCCCTCCTCCTTATAACAACCTTTTACGTACTTTAAAACTGTTATCATGTCCCCTCTCAATCTTCTCTTTTCCAGACTAAACAAACACAATTTTTTTCAATCTTCCCTCATAGGTCATGTTTTCTACACCTTTAATTATTTTTGTTGCTCTTCTCTGGACTCATTCCAATTTGTCAATGTCCTTCCAGAACTGGACAAAATACTCCAGTTGAGGCCTAATCAGCAGAGTAGAGCAGAAGAATTACTTCTCCTGTCTTGCCTACAACATTCCTGCTAATACATCCCAGAATGATATTTGGGTTTTTTTCAACTTTTTTTTTTGCTTTTTTGTTGACTCATATTTAGCTTGTGGTCCACTATGACCCCTTTCAGCATACTCTGTCCTAGGCAGTCATTTCAATTTTGTATGAGTGCAAGTGATTGTTCCTTCCTAAGTAGAGTACTTTTAATTTGTCCTTCTTGAATGTCATCCTCTTTGCTTCAGACTATTTCTCCAGTTTCTCCAGATCATTTTGAATTTTAATCCTATCCTCCAAAGCACTTGCAACCCCTCCTAGCTTGGTCTCATCCGTAAACTTTATAAGTGAACGCTAGGTCATATCTAAATTATTGAGGAAGATATTGAACAGAATTGGACCCTGATCCCTGCGGAACCCCACTCATTACGTCCTTCCAGCATGACTGATAAATACTCTCTGGGAATGGTAGTACAACCAGTTATGTATCCACCTTATAGTAGCTGCATTTAGGTTGCATTTCACTAATTTGTTTATGAGATGGTCATGCGAGATAGTATCAAAAGCCTTATTAAAGTCAAGATATACCACGTCTTCCGCTTTCCCCCATCCGCAAGGCTTGTTACTCTGTCAAAGAAAGCCATGCTGACTGTTACTTATCACCTTAGTATCTTCTAGATGTTTGCAAATTGGTTGCTTATTTTCTTTCTGGGTAGCTCTAAAAGACTTTTGTGAAACTGCAAGATTACTACATCTCTATTACGTTTTGAAATTATAGACTGACTTGACTGATCATATATTTTTATTTGCTTTAACGTCTCAATATCTCTCATTCCTTTTTCCTAGCTAATAAACCTTTAGTTAGATTACTATAGAATTGGCTACCAGCATTGTCTTCACATTGAAGAAGAGGGTGGATTTAAATAAGTACATAAGAACATATGAATGGCCCCACTGGATCAGACCAACGGTCCATCTAGCCCAGTATCCTGTCTCCCAACAGTGACCAGTGCCAGGTGCCCCAAAGGGAATGAACAGAACAGGAATCATCAAGTGATCCATCCCCTGTCGCTCATTCCCAGCTTCTGGCAAAAATTTTATGAGCTTATGCTGTGCAGATTTTTCTATACAGTGCAAGAAAGTATTAGTTGGGGTTTATGTCCCAAAATGGGTGTGCACGTGAGTGCTGCGGGGATCCTCTCACAGAGAGCTGACTTTGGTCTGTGTCTGCAGCCGGCTGTGGCCCTACTTATGTGTGCACTGCAAGAGGCAGGCGAGCGTAATTCAGCAGGAGCAGCTCAGTGACATCCCAGTACATTAGGTGGCATCCCAGAAGGGGGTGGTCTAAACGATAACAAAGTAGACTTGGGTCTTGCAAATTTGTGTCTATTTTGTCAAACTGTCTCAGTTGAAGGCGAAAAGGAAATTGGAAATGCCGAAACGGTTCATTTAAATATTTCTGAAGCAAAACGTCTATAATGCTTCATTTGACCCAAAGTGAATTTTTTTTCTGACTTCTCAGTTTGCCAGAAATACTGAAAAAATTCATTTTTAAGTTGACCCGAAAGGACCGTTTTTCAGCACAGCCAGCGAATTAAAAAAACCCAGTACTTTTCTGCACCTCTAATCCAGAACACTTATCTTGCTGACCTTCCCCATGCCTCTTAGGCTGGGCCTGTGCCTAATGGAATGATCATGGGGGACAGAAATTGGTTTCTCTTTGAGAAAGGGGAGCGTGACAGCAATAAAAATATGCCTCTCAGAAGGCGCCCTAGAATGCTAGGGCTGACTTTGTTTCCAAGCCGTTTCAGCCCTTTCTGAGGCTGGGCTGAGCTGGAGCGTGTTCACTCCGGCATGGGTAGAAAGTCTGAGGGGTTTGGGTGGGAGTGGGGAAGGACGAATGACTTTTTAGGGGGCTTGGATGGATTTGGTGGAATCTGAGGGGTAGGGAAAGCACATTAATAAAAGCTATATCACATGTACGTATCGCTGACTGAGGCAGACCAGTTTGCAGCAAGTCTTTTGTTCAAAATGTGAGAGTGCATCCCCGAGGGAACTGCTCTCAGATTGAAGCTCTCTTTTGATCTAATCGGGAGTGGGGCACCTTTTACTGTTGAAAGCATCAGTTCTACATTTGGGATTTACCTGAGCGCCCCCCCCCCACCCCATGTTCCTTTTTCTACAATGAGGGCTGGCATCTCCTTCTCCTCAGGATTGTATCCATGTTCTCTCCCACTGCCCCGTACCCATTGCGCTTGTCTTTACCCTTTTTGTCTCACTGTCATCATCCTCCTGCATTTGCTTGTCTTGTCGCTTTACCAACCTAGGCACCGCCACCAGGTGCCGGGGCTTCATGGGGCGAGACAGTCGCTGCTGGAGATGCTCCGTGCAATGAGCATGCTGATTAGGTGGGCACAGATCACTGCCTCTGGGAACTTTATTTGAATGGCTAAGCTGTGTAATGATTCTGTTGGCACGGTGCTGTCCCCCAGTACAATATCCAGCCATGGTGTAGGTAACAGCTGTCAATATGTAAATACCAATAGAGCTGGGGCCCAGACAATGGTTACCCCCCACACACATTGTTTGACTCGGATGTCAGAAACGTTTTGACTCTCCAATTCTTGACACAGCCTGCCCTCAAGAGGTGCTGGCAGCTGGGGGTGAGGGATTAAAGTTCAAACTGGGGACATCCCTGGAGTCATTTTACAATTTCTTTGATTAGCCTATTTAATGCTCTGTTGCTCACTCCATAGTAGATGTTTTTGCCAGTGCATCAGGCATAGCAAATACTTGAACAATAATGGAGTGGTGTGTTTCTTCAATACACTCAGGGCTCTTGGAAATGCCAGGCATCTTGCATGAACTGTGGCTGTTTGGCCTCGTTCCCTGCCTTGCACGTATGTTGGGCATCAGGGGGCATGGTTGGATCCACAGCAGCTCTCACCATCAAAGGGCATGAAGCTATCAACGAGAGCTTGAGTTATTTCAGGGGCGGCAGCAGGTGGAGTAGCCACTGAAGAGCCTCTGCTCTGAGCGGCAGGTTCATCACCCGGGCTTGGCAAATTGTTGTTGCCTTCTAGGCCCACTGGAGTCTTCTCTGGAAGGGGATTCCAGCAATTCCAGGACCTGACGGATTAATTCCAGGAAGAGACTCCAGGAAGGAACTCCAGAGGAGCCTGCTTGGGGAACAAAGATCAACCCTCCTTGGGCTGCTGGCTAATCATCCTCAACAGTAAAATCTCCCTGAAGGGCTGGGTTTTGCTGCATTCCCCCAAATCCAGTGCCCATGCCTACAAAACGAGGAGTCATGGCCTCCTCCGCCTCTCTGAATAGCCCATGTTGTTCCACCACATCAGGGTTAGTCGGACTTGCTCCAGCGGTGCGGAAAGCAGCTCTATTTGGACAAAAGCCTCACTATCTGTGTGGATTTCATGCAAGTAGTGAAATCTGCTGGCTTGACAGCCCTCTAGTTACAGAGCAGGCAGAAGCAATAGAACCTTTCTCACGCAGTAACATGGATACCTATCTGTCTCTCGTCTCGCTCCTAATTCTTGTTAATAAAAGAAAATGTTTGGTATGGGAAAGTAGTATTTTCCATCTTCCTATACTTCTAGTCAGATCTGTTTATAGATTTTTGCTCCATTTTCCTTTAAAAACAAACCACCACCAAAATACTACTTTTGCTCTTGAAGGATATTAAACTTCTATTCAGGGTTTTCAGGTCATCATATCTGTTTTGTCCAAGGGTGAAAGTAACTAAAGCGACTCACCGGTATGCAGGGCCGGGGTCATGAGCATGAGGCAGGGCCTCAGCCGGAAGAGACAGGGCCTTTAAACCCCTGGGCCCTTTAATACGAGCCCCATGGTAGCGATGGCTGTGGCGGCCTTTTAAAATGCTGCTGGAGCCCTGCGGCTCCTGGCCGTTGCCGCTACCCCAAGGCTCAAGCAGCGGAGCTCTGGCGGCAATTTAATGGGCCGGGGTTCCAGCCGCTGCCAGGGCCCTTTTAAATTGCTGGCCTGGGGAAGATGCCCCTACCATTAGGGTTGGCTGTGTACGGGACCGGCTTACTTTCACCTCCGGTTTTGTCATTGATCGGACACCAGCGTCCAGATCATCAATGGTGCTTAAATTCCCTTTGAAATCAATGGGAAATCAACCTTTGAGGATCTGGGCCTTAAAGCCTGCATTTACACTAAGGCCCCTTTAAACTGCTCAGGTGTGTAAAGTGGCTGTAAATGACATATACATTGTAATAATTTAAGTTGTGTAAAGTAAGCGAGACTTACTCTGGCAGTGCAAGCTTTTTGGCACAAGGATCTTAGAGCTCTTGCTTAATACTGGATTAAAAAGACAGGTGGGAAAATGTGTACCTATTGCCCCGAAATACATATAAATACATCTTCAAAATCCCAGATAATTTGCGAGACCTGTGGTGTTCAATCTGTTAAGCGATCGTAAGCTATAATAGTTATGGAGATGAGTTCTTTATTAAAAGATTAGGAGGAAGACTGTGGTGTCTGTTAGTGGTCATAGATTTATCAACGCAAACCCGTTTTTATCATGGAGCAAATCCATGAAATGACCTACTACCTGCATTTCTTCTGAGCTTCCTAAGTGGGGGACCCTACAGGAAACATATCAAAGCATGGCTCAGTCTACACCAGTGCACATAGTACGCTGCTGTTTTTAAAAACTTTGGCTCAGCTTTTCAAAGCTGCATAAGGGCGTTGAATGCCCAGTTGCCATTAAATATTAGGGGGAATTGGGGATCGAGATCACTTTAATGGCTTTGAAATGTGTTTCAACTGTAGTACTTCAATTAATATTTTTCTCGAATTGGGGAAAAAAGAGAGACTTACTCCTTGTTTTGCTATATAGGGCACATAATACAACCAAGGGTAAAGCTAGACATAAAAGGAAGTAATCGTTTAAAAATAGTATTGTACTTTATGAAAAAAACGTTAAAATCAGACAGATCTACAAGAGCATAGAATGAATTGTGGGGTGGAAATGGGAAGAAACTTCCTGGTGGTTGTTCTGTTGGGTCTTGCTGAGCTTCTTGATGTACAATTGGGTACATCTTTACCAAAAGAAAAAAGGCAAACAATATTGCAGTGCAACACAAGACAAAATGGTAGATAATACAATTGCTCTGATAAATGCAAGAAAGCTACACAAAGAAGGACGAACGTATCGTAGATATCTTAGTAACAAACAAACATTCGAACTCGTCTAGCAAAACAGAAGGGAATTTATGTCCTTCAGTGAAAATGATATTTTGCACACGCTCGTTTGAATTTATGTTTTGCTGTTAGAGATATAGGACAGAAAGAGGCATCTCTTCAGCTGGTCATAGCTCCCAAACGGCAGTATGGCAATTTAAACCAGTTAAGGCTCTGCCTCTACATAGATAATTGGTTCAGAGATAATCATTTTCTGGTTAACAGGAAATATATAAAATAAAAATCTATACTTACGGCCTGAACCAGTTGCTGGGAATACTCTAGTGCTGGTAATTGCACTATAATAATACAAAAATTGCACAGACCTTAAATGCAAAGATTTAATAAGGACTGAACTAAGGTGACAAAGGCAATGAAGAAAGGTTTCACTATACAATACACCAGCCAAATAAGTTTGGCCTGGCTAGAGAACCTCTGCCTATAGAGATAGGAGTTTTGCCTCCTGACCTTCCTCCACACTATGAGCTTCTGTTATCTTGTATTCCTTTATTCCCTGAAATAACAGCATTTCCAGAATTATATCCTTGGAAGGGATCAGACTGTGCTGTGACGTAATTATCAGAAGTACTGCCCTCTGGAGGCAAAAACCTCTGACTTTTGGAGAAACAGGCATTTCAGTCTGGCCCTTCTCCAATTTGCAGGCTGCCACCTGAGCCGGTGTAAATCAGCATGATCTGCAAAAGTCAATGGCGCCACACTGATGTATAGTGGCTGAGAATCTGGCCATGTTACATTCATAGACACACGTTTCTCCCCAAAGTTGAATGACTGTAAAGTGTGTTAATTGGGCTATGTAGAAGAGCATTTCAAGTCTTTGGCCAGCGAAGAACTGGACTGGCACCTTTGTATGAGGTCACGCCCATGGATTCCTCCGGTATGCGCATTTACCCCTCAGGCCCAACCTGCCTACTTCATCTCTCCCAACATAGGCACATAACTAGTAGCCTGATTTTCAGTGGTGCTCAATCTCCAACTGCTCCCTGTACAGTTGGAAATAAATATTGACTGGTTTCATTTTATGTAGGTACATCCTGTGACGTTGCCTGCGATATGTTTATGGAAATATGCTTATGAGTGTAAATATAATGTTACTGGGATATGCTTTATGCAAAAGGTTTCTTGTAAGGTATCATTACAAAGCCTATAATTTACTGAGTGTGCTCATCCTATTTGTATAATGTATCAGTCTTGTATCTAAAGCTAGAAATATAAAGTATTACTCTGAAGTCCTATTGTAATTATGCAACGTGTGGGCCATTAATGATGGCTTGGAATCTTGAAGGCTCTCATTGACCAAGACAATTGGTTGTAAATGGCTCTGTTTACATGTAAGACTTCCTGTGTTCCTGTAAGTCAGGCCGGAAAGAATGGAGGCTTGGGGGAATCTCACAGGACATGTGACCATGTCAGCTGGTACTGGAATCCAGCTTAAACCTGGTGCTTTTCCATTTAGAAGGAGGGATGGGGACCCAGAGAGACAAAAGATTCCCGCCTTGTGCCAAAGCTGTAAAAAGGGGTGGAACAGAACAAAGGGGGCTGCAGTCATGAGAAAACCCCTAATTACCACCTGAACTGGAACTAACAAGGTCTATACCAGGGTAAAAGACTGTGCCCAGACTAAGGAGGAGTCTAGTCTGTGAAAGAAGCTTATTGGATCATCTCTGAGGGTGAGATTTACCTGTATACAGTTTCTTAATATAGTAGGCTTAGACTTGCGTGTTTTGTTTTATTTTGATTCGTAACTTACTTTCTTCTGTTATTACTTAAAATCACTTTAATCCTACTTGTTATACTTAATGAATCACTTTTATTTATTAATAAACCCAGAATAAGTGATTAATACCTGGGGGAACAAACAGCCGTACATATCGCTATCAGTTTAAGAGAGGCTGGACAATTTATTAGTTTACCCTGTATAAGCTTTATACAGAGTAAAACAAATTTATTTGGGGTTTGAATCCCATTGGAAATTGGGTGTCTTGATTCTGAAGATAGGTGACCTGCTGAGCAGTTTTTAATTAAAGTCTGCAGCTTTGGGGGCGTGGACCAGACCTGGGTCTGTGTTGCAGCAGGCTAGCCTGTCTGGCTCAACAAGGCAAGGTTCTGGA